ATTTTTCATTTGAATCTTATAAAATGAACAAAGTATTAATTATGAGCCCAAACTGTTTATTTTGTCAATTGTGAGCGGATTCCAACAAGGACGCATTCTCTGTTCTTCTGTTGTTATTTAGTTTTCTTTGAGCGTGCCGACAAAAATTTAACATATTAAAAATTTCTCTGGAATCCAGGAACATACAGACACGAAACTGTGCGCCTATCCAGTGCACAGTTTGGCCTGGTAATGTTCATCTCATACGTTTTAAGTACGATACTTGCTTCAGGTCCAAAAATCATCAAACAAAATTTACTGGGGGTTTTTTTGTAAAACTTTAAGCAGTTTTCATGAGGTGTTTCTATAAAAGCACCCCAACCCAAACAGAAAAAAAAAATAGCCCCCTATACTGTGATTTTATCATTAAGGGGCTATAATGGGAAAAATCCTTTTTTATGATGGCCAGTTTTTCTATCAAAGCAACTCCATTTGCGTAAACCGCAATCAAATTTTGGGGAAAATAACTTTGCTATGTGATTAAAGGAGTTAAAGGGTTAAAAGTCAAATAAATGGCCAGAATTTCTGCAGCGATATTTCAATTTTCCAAGTTTTGAGATTTTTTTTTGAGGAATGTTGTTTCTGTTATCAGATTGTTTTTAAATCCGAGAACAAATTCGTAGATGGCATTCATCGATGATGAAATGTTTTGTGTCAGCTGTCAGGAGAGTTTTTAAATTTGATTATTGGTGTTTTTTCAAGTTAGTTGATACTGTATTGTCTTAAATGTTTTGTAATTTACATAACGAGGCCAAACTGTGCACTGGATATAACCACAGACAATTAAGTGGGTGTAGGTCTCTGGAATTCAGAGACAAGTTTTAAATTATATCAGAATGATCAAAAGAAACAAAAGATTAAAGGATAAACAAAAAAGCTTTCTTGTTTTGGAATCTGCTCAAAATTTACAAAATACACAGTTTGGGCTCGTGATTACCCTAAGGTCATCGTAAATCCTACACTTTTTGATGCCAAAGTATATTATGCCAAACTCTGTCTCATATTGAAAGAAAAGCAGAAAACAGTACTTTCTTTCAAAGTTGGTTTAAATGCATGTATTTAACTAGCTTGTTCCGCCCTAAAATGAATAGTTTTTTTTCGAAAAACAAAATGATTTACAAACCTACGATTTTTGAAAAATTCAAGTTTTTACATTGCGCCTTAAATTGATTTTTTTTCAGACAACAGAATGGTTTAAGAACCGTTACGATTTGTGGAGAAGTCAAATTTTGGATCCAAGATACGGTATTGTTTGTTGCACAAAAAATCAAAAAATACTATGAGGGGATTTCAGAACCATTCAGCCCTTATTTTGTCACTTTTGTAATGATTTATTGAAATCATATGATTTAGGAAATCTTGGTTGAATCAAGCGTCAGAAAGTTTTAAAAACTTTCAACTGAAAAATTTTTGATTTGTTTCCATTTTGGGTTAAAATACAAATGGAAAGGAGTACCTCTGAAAAGTGTTGTATAAGTTTCACTCAATTTTTTAAAGCAACTACTGGTACATGAAAACATGTGGAAGCAAGCTCTAATTTGGACTAAATCATGTTCACTTTTTTGGATATTTTTGTATTAACAAAGATAATCACTTAGCTTCAAATAAATTGGTCCTGAACTGGAAACTATTAAAAACTCAAATGGTCGATAATCACACTGCAGAACTTTCCAATGCTCAAAAATCATTAAATCTTTTTTCATTTATGAAGGGCATTCTTTTGATATCAACGGACACAATTGTTTGTCCAAGCAGTCAAACATTTTTCAAACAGCTAACTTTCAAAATTATTGATTATGGCTGTTTGGACAAAAAAGTTTTCTGCTGGTTTTCAAGAAATATGCTAAGAAAGATACAAAGATTTTTGTTTTTGCGAATATATGAAAATCTATCCAGTTGATATGTGCATTTTTCATTTGAATCTTATAAAATGAACAAAGTATTAATTATGAGCCCAAACTGTTTATTTTGTCAATTGTGAGCGGATTCCAACAAGGACGCTCTCTCTGTTCTTCTGTTGTTATTTAGTTTTCTTTGAGCGTGCCGACAAAAATTTAACATATTAAAAATTTCTCTGGAATCCAGGAACATACAGACACGAAACTGTGCGCGTATCCAGTGCACAGTTTGGCCTGGTAATGTTCATCTCATACGTTTTAAGTACGATACTTGCTTCAGGTCCAAAAATCATCAAACAAAATTTACTGGGGGTTTTTTTGTAAAACTTTAAGCATTTTTCATGAGGTGTTTCTATAAAAGCACCCCAACCCAAACAGAAAAAAAAACAGCCCCCTATACTGTGATTTTATCATTAAGGGGCTATAATGGGAAAAATCCTTTTTTATGATGGCCAGTTTTTCTATCAAAGCAACTCCATTTGCGTAAACCGCAATCAAATTTTGGGGAAAATAACTTTGCTATGTGATTAAAGGAGTTAAAGGGTTAAAAGTCAAATAAATGGCCAGAATTTCTGCAGCGATATTTCAATTTTCCAAGTTTTGAGATTTTTTTTGAGGAATGTTGTTTCTGTTATCAGATTGTTTTTAAATCCGAGAACAAATTCGTAGATGGCATTCATCGATGATGAAATGTTTTGTGTCAGCTGTCAGGAGAGTTTTTAAATTTGATTATTGGTGTTTTTTCAAGTTAGTTGATACTGTATTGTCTTAAATGTTTTGTAATTTACATAACGAGGCCAAACTGTGCACTGGATATAACCACAGACAATTAAGTGGGTGTAGGTCTCTGGAATTCAGAGACAAGTTTTAAATTATATCAGAATGATCAAAAGAAACAAAAGAATAAAGGATAAACAAAAAAGCTTTCTTGTTTTGGAATCTGCTCAAAATTTACAAAATACACAGTTTGGGCTCGTGATTACCCTAAGGTCATCGTAAATCCTACACTTTTTGATGCCAAAGTATATTATGCCAAACTCTGTCTCATATTGAAAGAAAAGCAGAAAACAGTACTTTCTTTCAAAGTTGGTTTAAATGCATGTATTTAACTACCTTGTTCCGCCCTAAAATGAATAGTTTTTTTCGAAAAACAAAATGATTTACAAACCTACGATTTTTGAAAAATTCAAGTTTTTACATTGCGCCTTAAATTGATTTTTTTTTTCAGACAACAGAATGGTTTAAGAACCGTTACGATTTGTGGAGAAGTCAAATTTTGGATCCAAGATACGGTATTGTTTGTTGCACAAAAAATCAAAAAATACTATGAGGGGATTTCAGAACCATTCAGCCCTTATTTTGTCACTTTTGTAATGATTTATTGAAATCATATGATTTAGGAAATCTTGGTTGAATCAAGCGTCAGAAAGTTTTAAAAACTTTCAACTGAAAATTTTTTGATTTGTTTCCATTTTGGGTTAAAATACAAATGGAAAGGAGTACCTCTGAAAAGTGTTGTATAAGTTTCACTCAATTTTTTAAAGCAACTACTGGTACATGAAAACATGTGGAAGCAAGCTCTAATTTGGACTAAATCATGTTCACTTTTTGGATATTTTTGTATTAACAAAGATAATCACTTAGCTTCAAAGAAATTGGTCCTGAACTGGAAACTATTAAAAACTCAAATGGTCGATAATCACACTGCAGAACTTTCCAATGCTCAAAAATTTCCAAGATTTTTCTGACTTTGTGGGTTTTTATAATTGGCATTTTTTGTATTATTTGCTGAAATCGTTTTTTCTGTACATTTTTGGGCCAGTTTTCTGTAGAGTTTTGGGGCAAGCGAAATATTTTTTTCAAAATGTTTTTTTTTGAGTTTTTTATTCACACAGGTCAGAGCGATCTGGGCTACTTGAGCAGCAACTAGCTACTGTTTTGAATTCATGTGCTTGTTTTTTACTATTACGTTTTATCTGCAACAAATCATTGGTTGCTGTTGTTTTTAATCATCGGAGATTGCGAAAAAAAATTAAATCTAAAATATTTGTTAGCTAAAGTTTTAAATGTTTGATTTAGAATTTGTCCAAGTCACCGAATTTGATAAAAAATCTTTGTGTGAAAATAAGCCTTCACATGGCGAATCAGGGTAATTACCCTTGAAGTGCTCCAGTTATGAAACACAGTTATAAAAACAATTGAACATATTCAGGGGCGGATCTAGGATTTTCTCGAGGTAGGGGAAAGATTTTCAAAATTGATTTTCAAATTGATTTCTGAGCTCTCCCAGATCACTATAAAGACCCCATTTTGACCAAACTTTCTACGCGGTAGTCAAAATTTTAAAACAACAGGCCAATAAAGGCGATTTTAGTCATTTTTTGGAATATTTTCACCAAAAAATTGTGTTAAATTTCCTGATGAACATATATGGCATATAATTATTTGTTTTATGCAGAATTGATTGTTTTCATTTGCTTTAATTTTGAACGAATAGATATTATTTCTGAGTATCAAGAAATGTTTTGAATACTGAACTGTTTTGATACTTTTATTGTAGTCCAAATTACAACAGGAAGTTCTTCAAGGGTGTGAATTACTTTGAACTGGAATATTGACTTTGTTTCATGATGTCTAGATTTTAAATACTTTGCAGACCATGTATGATTTACAAGGCTTAAATCTAATCTATTTTCTTGAGTCTGTTTTCGATTTATTTTACAAATTCAAATTTATTTTTTAGACAGATTTATTATAATGTCGAATAATCAGCCTGAATAATTGCTGGCAAGGCATATTTTGGTCTCTGAAATAGTTTTTGTTTTCAAAGTGTTTGAAGTATTCGTTGATTAATTAGGCAGCTCAACTTCAATAGTGAATCAATGGAGCTTGGATAAGTTTGATAAATATATTGTTTTGCTTATCTGATTTTAAAATTATCTGATGAAGCAGAAGTCTCTACAGACATCTCTGATAACATAATTGCTTTCTTCTGCATTTTACTATCTCAGAATTTTGTTCAAATTTCAGTTGTTTCAATTTAAGGAAAAATTTTTTACCAAAATGGATGAACAGGCAGCAAATACAACCACGGTGAATCCCGAGTCAGGAACCGCCGAGATGGCTCTGACCATAAAAGTGATCTATTTTTCGGGATTGCTCATAACTCTGGCTGGCTTTGTGCTGAACTGTTTCTGTTTTCTGGCGGTCAAAAACCTGCCCGAATCCAGTGGCTCTACTCTCATGAAGTATCTGGCAGTTTGGGACTCCATGGCTGTGTTGGAAGATGGAATTCTTAGATGGGGCTTGGAACTGCTAGGTATCAATTTGGCAGTTGTGCATGTAAGTACTCAGAAGATATGCAAATGCCACCCGACATGCTGATGCCTTTTTGGTATTCTACCGAACCGAACTAAATTTAAAATGTACAATTTTATACAATGTATGGTTATATGTTTCTGCCCTAGTCGATCAAGGGAGGTTATCTTGCAAGATCTTGCAAGAATCTTGCAAGATTCTTTTAAAGAGGATGCATCTCTTTAAAAGATCTTGCAAGATTCTTGCAAGATCTTGCAAGATAACCTCCTTTAAAGATAATCTTTTTTTTGCAAGATCTTTTAAGAAACAATTTTTTTGGGCAAAAACAGCTTTACACGCGAAGACAACCAAGTAGCGTTCGTGGAAGAAGGAAGCAATCTTAGCTACGCATACATACACACAGCCCGCTAGGCGGTTGCCCCCAGAAAGCTTTTTTTTAAAACTTTTTTTGTAATAGGCGGTTATCTTCAAGTTTTGATCGACTACTTATACCTTAATCTCTCAAAATAGGAAAAACGCATTTGAGAAGAAGTCGTTTGCGATGAAAGCTTCACTTTCCTAGAACATAGCCAATCGAAGATTGCAAAGGAGTAATGAACGCAAGTAAACATTAAAAAATAACACTGACGTTGTTGAAAAATCTCAACTTTCAAAACTCAAAGAAAAAAATAGAAGCCCTTTAAGCTCTTTAAATTTCTAGAACAATTTATGATGGGCGCTTTTTTGATAACATGAACCCGAATTGAGAAAACTGGATCAATAAGTAAAGTTTTTATTCTCTGGAAATCTAAAAAGTAAATTCCACTTTCAAAACTAGAAATCGATAAAAACGAAATATCCCCGGTTTGAACTAATTAAAGCAATTCGTCACAAAAAATTTTTGGCCAATAATCTTTCAATTTTCGCAAACCAGTAGCCGCAATAATTGCGAATAAACTAAAAAGATTTGATTGGTTGATACTTTTAATCTCATTGAATAAATTAACAACAAATATGCGACTACTTTTTAACGCATGATTTTTGTCTAATTTTATTCGTTAAGCATTTATTTAAAGTTTTGGATTCTCGTTCTAGAAACAATTTTTTTGATCTTACACCTAATTTCTGTTATTTTTTTTGTGTTTTTCGACAAATTTTGCGATGGTTATCTTGCAAGATTCTTTCAAGATTCTTGCAAGATAACCTCCATCTTGCAAGATCTTGCAAGATAACCTCCATCTTGCAAGATCTTGCAAGATAACCCTCTTTTGCAAGAATCTTGCAAGATCTTGCAAGATAACCTCCCTTGATCGACTAGGGTGGGCTTGAAATTGTTAAAACTATTTTTATCATGATTATGATTATGATTTTATTATTATGATTATTATTATTAATATTATGATTTTTATCATTCCTATTATTATTATTATTATTATTATTATTATTATTATTATGATTATTATTATGATTATTATGATTATCATTATTATTATTATTATTATTATTATTATTATTATTATTATTATGATTATTATTATTATTATTATGATTATTATGATTATTATTATTATTATGATGATTATTATGATTATTATTATTATTATTATTATTATTATTATTATTATTATGATTATTATTATGATTATTATGATTATCATTATTATTATTATGATTATTATTATGATTATTATTATTATTATTATTATTATTATTATGATTATTATGATTATTATTATTATGATTATTATGATTATTATGATTATGATTATTATTATTATTATTATTATTATTATTATTATTATTATTATTATTATTATTATTATTATTATTATTTTAAGGTTCTTTGCAATTTGTAGAAAACGAGAAAATTTTTACAAATTATTTTAGCTTCTAGTCGCTATACCTCTAAAATAAAAGTTTTTATTTTGAAGGAATTGAAAATTGAGGCTACAAAATATATTTTGCTACTTGTCATTGATGTGTGCACCCAAATTTGTGACAAAAGATTCTTGATTAATTTTTTTTTGGGGAAAACAAAAAAAAACTATTTTCAGGAAATCCTGTGCTACATGTTCAACATGTTTTCCTGGTCAACCAATGCGGGCGCAACCTACACCGTCATAGCGATGGCACTGAACAGAGTTGTCGCAATCAAAGCTCCTTTCTGGTACAACAACAATGTCTCCTCAACGACTGCCCATAAAATCAGTCTGGCAGTTCTAATTTTCGCTGGCGCAATGGGGAGTCAAGCTCTGGCGTTTTACCGTCTGGACAAAACTCGAGGCTGTACGTGGTTCAGTTCTTTAAATGCCGCTTTTGTGATGGCATTTGTCAACACGGCTGTCTTCTTTTTTATACCCATAGTCGTGTTGGTTGTCAGCGACCTTATATTCGTTCGGGGGCTAGCCGAACGCACGAGCAAATCTCTATCATCAGGAGCGAGAGGAGCGCCGACAAAAGACGCGGCGACTCTAGAAAGAGAGAGACAAAAAGAGTCGCGGGCACGAGAGTACACGATATTTCTAATTTGTTTGACGATCTCGTATCTTGTTTGCTACTTGGGGGTGGTTATCTTTTCATCTATGGCTGGGTGGGGCGCAGCATACGGGGATCTGTTGCGAGTCATCAGCAAGTTGTTCGTGATTGTGAACAACTCTAAGAACTTCATTTTCTACTATATGAGTGGTGATGCATTCCGGTCAGCGTTCAAACAGGTCTTGCGTTCGTCCAAATGATTATCAGCATTTGTGGGAAAGAATGCACTAAAGAAAAAAAAGTAACAGCAAAGAAGCTCGACGTTAATTTTTTGGTTACTTTTTGGCCACACTTTTTTTCGTTAGTTTTTGATGTCAATGTTAAATTTTTTGAAACCAACGAAGCCTTGATCGAATTAGAAAAAAATTAGCGTCACTTTGCGCAAAAATTTTTCCTCCGAAAAAATTGTACCGAGCCCCCATACATGTTGAAACTCCCTTGAACTGTTAAATAGATTGCATCATTATTAAATACACACTATAGGTTTTATATTTTTTATCTACACAACGGCAACCTCTGAGGTCGATCCTAGAAAAAAACCTGATATTAAGAATAAAGATGATTTCTTTTAAATTTCTGCTTACCGCAATTTCAACTAATTTCCCGAACGCTTTTCTTTCGCTTGTCCTTCAATTAAATATTATCCATGCTTTTCCCTATTTTTCAGTTGAATTTAAATCTTGGACCCTACAGTTAATTTTACAGTCATAATACCTAGTTATAATTGCCATTGAAGTCTTCTTTTTAGGCTTACCAATTTTGTAATCACAACTTGTCTGACCAATGAAAACCAGAAAAAACTTTGGATTCATTTCTTTTGCAATGCAAAATCAGGTACTAAATAAACAGTCCTACAAATTTTAAGTGACTTTTTGTATTGAAAACGTTTAGTCGTGAATTGAGAACAACTTAATTCACGACCAAAGCAGGTCACAACTCTGCTTTAAACATTTTAAAATCCTAGAAACTCATGAGTAACTGCTGTTTTACGCGAATAACTTTTTAGTAATAGTTACAATTCTGGTATCACAAAAAGTAAAAAATTGAGAAAATCATTCCAATCTGGAGCTTTTTTTTCAAAAAAGCTCA